GGTCTTGATAGAGCCTTGCTTAGGGGTTATGTTGTGTTTATTTGATAATCTTGATGATCCTGATGTTGTGATTGATTATATGTGTGACCTTGTATTTAATTATGTCTAGAGCTTGTCCCTAGGGTTTATATCGTGAATCTCATGTTATGAAATTCTTGGTGTTATTGGGTGGGTTTATGCATGCTCGGGTGTTGAGTCTAGCCTAGGACTTGTCTCTAGGGTTTTGCATATAGATTTCTTGAGGTTCTTGAGGTTCCGGACGCTCCTGAACCGTTATGTGATTGATGTCGAGTCTTGGCATGTTTAGGAATCGTGTTAGAATATAATTGGAATAATTCTTGGTTTAATCTTCGTTAGTTGAATCCGTGATGTTGTTACGTGTCAGAATGTGTTTGGACATGGTTTTGGGTTCCACGAACGAACTCCGAAGCGGGATTTTTACCTTCGTACCAGTGGGGGGTAGGTAGGGGGGGACAAATCCCCACCACCAACCTGCTGCCCGGCTACCTGTATTCCAGCGGGCAGCCGGCGAGCAGTGGCCTGCCCGCCGGCCACCCACCGGCGGGTGGTGTAACACCCCAGATTTTTGAAACTATTAAAACTTATATAATGAAGGTAAATTCTTATTAAATCCCAAACAGAGCAGTACTAAACATAAGAATACATGGTGTTATGCCACATCTGAGCTAGAGAACTCAGATGCACAGGCTAGACTATCTAATTATCCTTAAACAGCATCATTACATCATTATGGCACGCAGGCCGAATATGAAACTATCTATCTAAGCCTTGGGTCCTCAAGCGCGCTCCGGAGCTAATCATATGTGCCTGAAAACCAAATATAGCTGTTCAGCGAATAATGCTGGTAACCCACTCTAACGCGTTGGAATACCGTATAAGTATATATATATATATATATATATATATATATATATATATATATATATATATATATATATATATATAGATATAAGGAAAATCATTTTGAAGCAGGAAGATATATATATATATATATATATATATATATATATATATAGATATATATCTTCCTGCTTCAAAATGATTTTCCTTATATCTATATATATATATATATATATATATATATATATATATATATATATATATATATAGATATAAGGAAAATCATTTTGAAGCAGGAAGATATATCCTAGGAAACTCTAGTTTCAAAACCGGAATAGACTCGAAAGATAGGGATAAACACATTCAACAGTTATAACCAAGCATATAAAGATACTAGCATATATCCTATGGTCACAGGTTCACTTCATCTCATTCATATCATCATTCAATTTGTATCTCATCACACAAGCATACTTTGGTGGCGCCACAGGACCAATCGCATGCCCATACATGAGGGTCAGCGCATATAGCTCTGACACGGCCCCGCAGCACCCTACCTCGTATCGCAACACAAAGGGGTCGATCGCAACCGACCGATGAACCGCAGCTCATCATAATGTTTGATAGCAACCAAACAGTGGACCGCAGCCCAAGAGTGATCATCTGACCGCAGCCAGGAATATGAACGGCAGCTCATGTAAAACGTTTGATCGCAACCAAACGGTGGACCGCAACCCAAGAGTGTAATTCTGACCGCAACCAGCTTCTGAACCGCAGCTCAGGAATAACCAATTTGATCGCAACCAAATTGGGGTATCACGCACACATAACACATAGCAAGCTCATGCAACCCACATTAACACATTGGGGAAAGGGAGCAAAATGTGTAATGAAACATATGCGTGGTCATCCACATACTAGGATTAATCCTAAGGGGTTCATACTTCTTCCACCTAGGCCAATCGGATACCAATTCGACTAGCATGCGATATATAAGACTCATTTAACCTACGAACGGTATTCGAAACATCAACTAGACTTAGGCACGATAAACGGAGTCCATTGGGACACCACGAGGGTCGGGGAAACATCAAACGGGGAAGCCGAAGTCCCAAGTTGGGCAAGTTCCAGCGGGTAGCCGGTGGGTGGAGGATCACCCGCCGGCGACAAGCCTCCGGGCAGCGGGTGCCCAGCAGGTAGTCGCCTGCCCGCTGCCGGTGGCGTCGTATTTCGGGCAGCGGGTAGGTGGCGGGTCCCCCCTACCCCCACCTACCCCCACTGACTCTTTATCAAAATAAACGTCCCGGGATCCTTCGTGGAACCCGAAACCATGCTTAGACACTTTTAAACGCAATTGGTGACACCATGTAGATAATTAATTGATCAAAAGCAAGAATCATATCACACACACATCCTATCATGATTTCTAAGTATAATCAACCCCTGAGCATGCGAATTCCCACCCAAATATATCAAGAATATCACAATACGAATTTCACGATTCATCCTAGGGCTCTAATCATATTTAAATCATCAAGATCATAGTTCATCTTTTAACATCAAGAACATCAAGATTTATCAAGAACATCACATAATCATCAAGAACCTCTTATCATCATCAAGATCCCACATAAAATCATCTCACCAATTATCAAGATCATATCATCAATACCATAAACGATTCATCGAGACACAAGCGTAGAGAAGAAGCCAAGGAAGGAGATTATAGCAAAGAAAATAGGTTTTGTTAAGACATCGGTTACCTCTTAGCCTTAATTAATTTCCTTGGCTATGAAGGGTCTTTCTTTAAGATTTCTCCTTTCTTGATTTCTCCTAAGGGAATTCTTGGAACTTCTTGTGTGGTGAGAGATTATTTGTGGTGTGAGTTCTAGGTGCCTCCTATGCCCCCTATTTATATACCTAAGAGCCCCAATTGGGGTCTAAATACTATGGGCTTGCTAATTCTATTCCTTATAGGACTAAGGAGTTGGTTTTAGGGGTGAGGGTCCATGGATTATGGTGGACCCTTTCTTAGTTGATTAATGGGCTTTAATTCTCTTTTAGGGAAAGTGATTAAATAATTAGTTAGGGTTAGGGTTCGTAACACGGGGTGTTACACTCTCCCCCCCTTACAAGGGCTTCGTCCTCAAAGCCGGTGCGTGGATCCATTCTTTCACCCCTGAGACGTCACGTGCTTTGGCCCCCTGGTTAGGAAATGTGGCCCCCACGTGTCGTTTGTTGTTGGGGTAGAGTGGAACTCGGTGCAGTGGTGTTTGGAAGGGTTTTGGGTCTACCTTGGTTTCCTGCTCCTGAGCTGGATGCCCCACGTGTGCCCAACATGGCCTCGATTGTTGCCACCCTTTGATCTAATGCTCGTGTTGCATGGATTAGGGATGAGAACCCTTCGTCCATGATTTGGTTTTGCCGGGTGAGTTGCGCGAGGATGCGCTCATTGATGGATTCCTCATTTCAGTTCCCTGGATTTCCCCTTTCTCGTGCGGGCGCAGGTGGGTTAGGTTCGCTATCCTCTTCTTGCTCATTTTCCTCTGGTCCCCCACATTCTTGCATTGTCCGCCTTAGCTTTTTGTTGGAGATATCCAGTTGATCAACCAATTCCCTTCGTTCCTCTTCGGGCTTAAGACAAACCTCCTCGAGGGTGATGTATTGCCCCCCTCCGGTGTAGTAGATGTCGTTGCGGCGGAGGTTCTGGGCATTGAAAACCATACCACTTATGGGTTTGATCTCCGTGCGGCTCAAGTCCACTCCCTTTTTCTCCATGATCCAACTTAGGATCATCCCATATGGTAAACTATGCCGGTTGCTAGTCTTGCAAAATTCCATGTGTTTCAACATAAGGGCCGGTAGGTTGAACTTGATTTTGTGTTTTAGGAAGTAGGCAAAAGTACATTCCAGGCTCCTCAAGTCCTTGCATTTGTTGTTTGTGGGAAACAAGCTATCAGTTACAACCATGACTAGTATCTTTTGTTCCGCGGTTAGCCACTTCATGTTAGGACGGGTGGCCGAGGTGAAGCCTTCTTCCTTTCCTAATAGGTACCCGAGGTAATCTGTATACCCCGTGCCTTGGGTACCGATCCACCCCTTCCGGTCGTAGTCTGACACACCCGTGGTGGTCAGTCTTAGCAGTTTGGCCAAGCGGCCCTCGGAGAGCACTATCTCCTTGCCCTGGACTTTAGCGGTGATTTCCAACTTGTCACCCCACTTAACGGCTACCAAGTGGTGGTAGAACTCTTTCCCCAATTCGGGGTATGTGTCCCCTTTGATGGTGAGATACGTATCCAAGAGACCTTGAAATTTGAGCATATCGACCAACTCCGGAGAGAATTGGTCGGGTTCAAGGGCTTTACCTCCGATCACCGTGTAATCGGCGTCGTTCCAATCCGGGGTTCGGATACCAACGGGCTTTTTCGGCATTGTGAGGTCTCCCTAGGTGATGACGTTTCCCCTTTTGGTGACGACTCTTTTCCGGCGAGACTCCAGCGGCACGGGTTTCTCGGCCGCAACGAGGGGCAGCGTTGTGGCGTGGCTCTGGCGGTGGCTCGTCGAGGTAGCGGTGGTCCTAGGCGGAGCTGGCGACGGCAGTGGTGTGTGTTGGCAGTGGGAGGTGTCCGGGTGAGCGACGGGTGGTGGGGGCGTCGCGGGCTGCTTCCGGGGCGGTGACGGTGGCGTGCGGTGGGGCGACGCCGGGGTGGCTGTTGGCGGCTCGGTTGGTGGCGGTGGTTTGGCGGGGTGTTTGTGGTGGTGTTGGGTGGCATCGGGTGTGTTGGTCGGCGGAGAGGTGAGAGGTAGAGAGAGAGAGAGATTGTTGGGGGAAGAAGAAGAAGGGTTTTTTTGATTTGGGGATTTTTGTGGGTTTTAGGGTTTTTGTAGGGGTTTAAGAAGGGAGTGTTCCCTTAAGGTTTTAAGAAACACTTATGGTCTAGTGGTTAAAGGTTTGGTTTTATAAGTGGAAGGTCTAGAGTTTAATCCCCGTTGGTAACATTATCTTCCCTTGTTATGTACCCCTTTTTGGGGCCCTTGTCTGTTTCCTTCCTTTGGCTTTTAGTGGTAAAAGTCTTGACCGATCTTCCTTGTTGGACTTTAGGTGTTTGACTTTGGTGACTCGTGGGTTCTTGGGGCAGACCCGTCCTTTTTCTTATGTTAATATTATTTCGATTTCTCCCTTTTATTTATAATAATTCCGAAGTAACTAAACTAAACAAGTAATTTTACTGTGCGGGTGAATACAGGGGGTCTGCTAATTATCCTAAATAGAACTCGTCTCCTAAATCTTCGTCCGTTTGGGTTGCGGGGTCCTCGTCTTCCGGAGCCATGTTTCCTTCGTCGAGGTTGCCTTCGCTCTCGAGTTCGGCCTGAGTGCGGCTTATGACGAACACCTTTCCGAGAGCACCGTAATTTCCTTGATGGTTCGTGCCCCGTGTTGGCCCATGGTTGTGGGGCGCGATTTCTGGGGTTGAGTGCACTGGAAGGCCTTGTGCCCTTCTCCCCCGCAGTTGAAGCATCGCCAGGGGTTGCCAATGCAATCTTTGCCTCTATGGTCCTTGTTGCATTTTGGGCAAGGGAGGCTCCTTGTATTAGCTTCGTGGTTTCCCAGGGGTGGCCTTTGGCCAGCTTGGTTGCTTGGCCTCGTGTTAGTGTCGTTTCTTGCCCTTTTCATAGGTGGTGCCCCATCCCCCGTGTTCCTTTTACGGATTTGTTCCTGGACCCCATGTTGTAGTAGTTGGATTCGATAGAGATTGGCGGCACTGGAGTAAGCCTCGTTGAGGGTTCGGGGTCCGCTTACGACTAGTGCCTTCCAGGCTTTGAAGTTGAGACCGGATATAAATCTTTCTATCTTGGTTGCTTCTGTGGGGACTAGTTCTGGTGCAAAGCGCGCCAGCTCGAGGAACCGCTTATGGTATTCCACGACGGTAGTCATTCCCTGTTTTAGATGGAGGAACTCTTCGTGCATAGATGCTCTTATGTGTGCTGGGTAGAACCGTTCTCGTAGTCGTGTTTTTAGGTGTTCCCAGTTGAACCCTAGTTCCTGCCTGTAAGTGGGCCCCTCGTGGATCCACCAAAGGTCTGCCTCATGTCCGAAGTAGAACGAGGCTATTTTTACACGACGTTCTTCTGGGCATTCTACCAATCCTGGAATCTTATCGAAGGTCCGAATCCATTATTCAAGGATTGCGGAATCCTCTTCTCCCGAGAAAGTGGGTGGTCGATGATTTGAAACTTGTCGGGCGGTTTCTGAGTTCGTGTTTGATGGAGGTGGTGGGGGTCTATTGTTGCGGAGAGCTACGTCGCTCAGTGTCTGGGCGACTTGTGTTAGTTGTTGTAGAGTTTGAGCCAGGGGATCGTGTGTGGTGGGTTTCGGAGTTCTTGATTGTCTTCTGTTTGGTGCCATGCTGCTGGTTTACTGGGCCAATGTTTATAGTAATGTTGAGTTAGAGTTTTGTACCCTTACCTTGATGCGATAAGCGAATGGGAGAGTTCTTTTAATTTAAACAAGAGTGAGGGGGTTATGTGATGGTGGGTATACTCACAATCTCACCACGCGTCCTAAGTTTCCTGAGTCCTATGTACTTAAATACCTAGAGTTCAAGCTTAGTGTCTTAAAGTCTGGTCTTAAAGGTCTTATCCTAGGGTCAAACTTAGGTTCTAATACCAACTGTAACACCCCAGATTTTCGAAACTTTTAAAACTTATATAATGAAGGTAAATTCTTATTAAATCCCAAACAGAGCAGTACTAAACATAAGAATACGGGGTGTTATGCCACATCTGAGCTAGAGAACTCAGATGCACAGGCTAAACCATCTAATTATCCTTAAACAACATCATTACATAATTATGGCACGCAGGCTGAATATGAAACAATCTATCTAAGCCTCGGGTCCTCTAGCGCGCTCCGGAGCTAATCATCTGTGCCTGAAAGCCAAATATATCTGTTCAGCGAATAATGCTGGTAACCCACTCTAACGCGTTGAAATACCGTATAAGTATATATATATATATATATATATATATATATATATATATATATATATATATATATATATATATATATATATATATATATATATATATATATATATATATATATATATATATATATATATATATATAAAAGGAAAATCATTTTGAAGCAGGAAGATATATCCTAGGAAACTCTAGTTTCAAAACCGGAATAGACTCGAAAGATAGGGATAAACACATTCAACAGTTATAACCAAGCATATAAAGATACTAGCATATATCCTACGGTCACAGGTTCACTTCATCTCATTCATATCATCATTCAATTCGTATCTCATCACACAAGCATACTTTGGTGGCGCCACAGGACCAATCGCATGCCCATACATGAGGGTCAGCGCATATAGCTCTGACACGGCCCCGCAGCACCCTACCACGTATCGCAATACGAAGGGGTCAATTGCAACCGACCGATGAACCGCAGCTCATCATAATGTGTGATCGCAACCAAACAGTGGACCGCAGCCTAAGAGTGATCATCTAACCGCAGCCGGGAATATGAACCGCAGCTCATGTAAAACGTTTGATAGCATTCCAAGAGTGTAATTCTGACCGCAGCCAACTTTTGAACCGCAGCTCAGGAATAACCAATTTGATCGCAACCAAATTGGGGTATCATGCACTCATAACACATAGCAAGCTCATGCAACCCACATTAACACATTGGGGAAAGGGAGAAAAACGTATAATGAAACCTATGCGTGGTCATCCACATACTAGGATTAATCCTAAGGGGTTCATACTTCTTCCACCTAGGCCAACCGGATACCAATTCGACTAGCATGCGATATATAAGACTCATTTAACCTACGAACGGTACCCGAAACATCAACTAGACTTAGGCACGATAAACGGAGTCCATTGGGACACCACGAGGGTCGGGGAAACATCAAACGGGGAAGCCGAAGTCCCAAGTTGGGCAAGTTCCAGCGGGTAGCCGGTGGGTGGAGGATCACCCGCCGGCGACAAGCCTCCGGGCAGCGGGTGCTCGGTGGGCAGTCGTCTGCCCGCTGCCGGTGGCGTCGTATTTCGGGCAGCGGGTAGGTGGCGGGTCCCCCCTACCCCCACCTACCCCCCGCTGACTCTTTATCAAAATAAACGTCCCGGGATCCTTCGTGGAACCCGAAACCATGCTTAGACACTTTTAAACGCAATTGGTGACACCATGTAGACAATTAATGGATCAAAAGTAAGAATCATATCACACACACATCCTATTATGATTTCTAAGTATAATCAACCCCCGAGCATGCGAATTCCCACCCAAATATATCAAGAATATCACAATACGAATTTCACGATTCATCCTAGGGCTCTAATCATATTTAAATTATCAAGATCATAGTTCATCTTTTAACATCAAGAACATCAAGATTTATCAAGAACATCACATAATCATCAAGAACCTCTTATCATCATCAAGATCATCACGATCCCACATAAAATCATCTCACCAATTATCAAGATCATATTATCAATACCATAAACGATTCATCGAGACACAAGCATAGAGAAGAAGCCAAGGAAGGAGATTATAGCTAAGAAAATAGGTTTTGTTAAGACATGGGTTACCTCTTAGCCTTAATTAATTTCCTTGGCTATGAAGGGTCTTTCTTTAAGATTTCTCCTTTCTTGATATCTCCTAAGGGAATTCTTGGAACTTCTTGTGTGGTGAGAGATTATTTGTGGTGTGAGTTCTAGGTGCCTCCTATGTAGAGCCGTCAAAAATGGGTTTTACCCACCAGGTCGACCCGTCCCGTACCGCCGTAGGTAGGGGACGGGTTCTTCAAATTTTGATCCGCCTGGAGGCGGGCTTTTTAGCCCGTCCCGCTTGGGTCACGGGTCCAGGCAGGGCGGGGCGGGCGGGTCACGGGTTTAGCCCGCGACCTGCTAATACATATATATTTTGTATATATATTTAGTATTTAATACATGTTATTTTGGTTTGTGTAATTGTGTTAGTGTGTTATAACTTATAAGATTATAGATTTAAAGGAATACAATACTAGGTAGTGTTACTGTACGTCTATACAATGATTCTTTTTTTTTTTTTTTTTTAAGGATATTGTACAGTGATTTAAAAAAAAAAAATTAACACAGTGAAAAAATTGATTGGCGGGCTAGCCCGCCCCGCCAGCGGGCTTTGGCATGGCGGGGCGGGCCGGCCACATTCTAAGCCCGCTAAGAGGCGGGCTTTTTAACCCGTCCCGCTACGAGGACGGGCTTTGGTGTGTTTTGGCCCGTCCCGCCCCGCGAGACCGTTTCGACGGCTCTATTCCTATGCCCCCTATTTATATACCTAAGAGTCTCAATTGGGGTCTAAATACTATGGGCTTGCTAATTCTATTCCTTATAGGACTAAGGAGTTGGTTTTAGGGGTGAGGGTCCATGGATTATGGTGGACCCTTTCTTAGTTGATTAATGGGTTTTAATTCTCTTTTAGTGAAAGTGATTAAATAATTAGTTAGGGTTAGGGGTCGTAACACGGGGTGTTACAGGTGGTCCACCACCCACCGCCCACCCACTGGAAAGTGGGTGTGTGGTGGGATGTTTTCCCCCGTTTGACATCTTCCTGTGTCCCGTTGTGCCCCGTTGTACCCCGTTTGATGTTTATGAGTCTCGTATGATGTTTTGTGTACCGTTCTAGGAATTTATGTGTAGTTCGTATCATTGTCATTATGTCTTGATTATTATTGTTGATTTAATGTTGATTGATTGGATGATGATGAGTGTTGTGATCATTGCGCAATGATTGATCTGACTGATGAGAATGAGATTGTGATTGGTGGAAATGAATTATTGGCGGAAAGCACAACGAGTGCTCGGTTATCGTGCTAAAGGCACGGACCACCCCTTAGACTTATTGGTTAAAGGCTTGGGTCAGGGTATAAGTGTCGCGGTATCATGTTAGAGCTATATGCGCTGACCCCTTGGTAATGGTGCTAGAGGCACGGACCATGCGAATGACACTTTGGTGCTACCATGTTGGTGGTTACGGAGTGGGGCATGTAGTTGCTCCGGAGGAATAAGGGAGGCGATATAAGGGTGGCCTGGAGGTACAGGTTGGAACTGATATAAGGATGGAGAGGAGGAAAGGTTGGAAGATGGTTTGTGTGCTTTGATGATTACTTGCTAATTGATGATCATTAAATCCCGTTGCTTGCCTTTAATTGTTAATTATGTGCTCACCTGTTTATTATACCTTGTAAAAGTAGGACGCATGTTAGTGGTATTCGTAATGTTGATCCGTTGCCATATTCTGAGTCCTGATCTTGATTTGAAAGCTAGTGTTGCCTAAGACTATATATGTATTCCATTTTCAAAATGGTTTCCTATATTTATATTTATTGTACTTAACGCGTGGGAGTGGGTTACGCAGCATTATTCGCTGACGGTTGCTATGTTATGTTTTTCAGGTAATGACCATTTGCTGAGGAGCGCGCTAGATGGACTCGTAGACTTAGTCTAGTTAGTCCTAGCTGTGGTAGTTGGTCTGCGTGCCATGGTTTGTAATTGTTTATCGACTTATGGATTTCACCTGCCTGGATAGTCTTAGCCTGTGCATCTAGGTTCTCAAACCTAGGTGTGGCATAACACCTCGACGATTATGTTTAGTTTATGCTCTGTTTGGATAGTTATTATTAGTCTGCCTTTACTTTATAAGTCTTTAAATGCTTTAAAAATTAGGGGTGTTACACCTGGCCTGGCATCCAACGTCGTCGCTCTCCTCCGAGGGGATGGTGATGTGGCTCCGTCCACATTGGTTTCAGAACTTCCCCTTCGGAGTTATCGAGGTGAGACGCCCTTAACCTTCGTCCCGGAGCAACTGGATTCGCCCTTTGCTGCGCTTCCCGACTCGTCTATGCCAAGCTTGCTGGAAGGCACGACATGTGACACCCCCTTTTTTCTAAACTCTAGAGCCCATACATTAATCAAACAAGATAGAATGTAATCACAAGATTATCATAATCTAATGTAGATTTCAAACTTAAAACTGAGGGGCATGTTACCGCCATAATTACCCACTCTTGGATAACTACACAGGCTAAACAAAAGCTACTAAATACTCGATACATACTCATAAAAATATCTGAAAAGGGGAAACAACCCCGATGTCTACACACCAACAAAATAACTGAAGTCATGCTACATCTAAAGTCAACATGGTCTAACATCAAAAGGGAAAATACTAAACTAGCCTCAAACATAGGATATAGAGCTACACACTACTATAATGCGCGCTCTCAAGATGAACTGGGACCACCTGAAAGGGGTTATAAAAGCACATAGGAAAATAAACCCGTTAGCATATAATGCTTAGTATAAAGCCACTCAACCCTGTAACATACTATAGATATAGGTTGGAAAACGTTTTGCATTCATACACATTATCAAGTATGAACATAAGCAATCAAGACACTCAGTCAAAAGATTTCAATAAATATACTTATATACTTCTATATGCTCAACAACCTATATTCTCATGTCAACAGGCATTAACTCATAACACATACTTGTGCACATACATGTACTGAAAATAGATACAAATCTTCTATAAGGCTATTATACACTTCTTGCAATCATATTGATACTTTAAAGATAGATATTGACATGAACTAATGCTAACAGATAAGATCATGCTTTCATGCTAATACACAAGCAATGAATGATACTCCACTTCTCAAATACTCAAGATAAGACATATGCTATGCCATGATATGCTTCTATAACTGAAGATATGATTATATATATATATATATATATATATATATATATATATATATATATATATATGTACATATATATATATATGTACATATATATATATATATATATATATGTATGTACATATATATATATGTATGTACATATATATATATGTATGTACATATATATATATATATGTACATATATATATATATATATGTATGTATATATATATATATATGTATGTATATATATATATGTATGTATATATATATATATATGTATATATATATATGTATGTATATATATATATATACATACATATATATATACATACATATATATATATATATATATATATATATATATATATATGTATATATATATATATACATACATACATACATACATACATACATACATACATACATACATACATACATACATACATATATATATATATATATATATATATACTTATACTCTCAATCTTTATATAAAAAGAATACTTTTCTGTGGAGGATCTTTGTTGACTCACTTTTCTCTTCTTTCTTACTTTCTTTCTTGCTTTCTTTCTGAACTCGTGGGGAGGTAGGAACTTCACGAATCGTGAATGGACCTATCCGGGCTCGGCAATCTAGCCAGCCTAATACTCATCTCGCCCACAGAACCGGTACTCTTATAACTCTGTAGAATCAGGTATCGTACCTTCAGTGTGCACACCCCCTAACTAGGATTCCAAGCCTAGCGGGTATTATCGAACCTAGAAACTTGGGAATATCAACCAAGTTACTTCTAAAAATAAACTGTCGGTCTTCTGACTGTTTCTTTCTCTTCTCATAACTTCTTTCTTTCTCTTTTCTTCCGATGGGATATAGTCCTAACGGGAACCTCCAAAACATAGATTTTTCTCACTTTATATAATAGATATATATCACATGCAACTTCTTTTCTCATGCTAGTAATCTAGACATCATGCAAGCATCTCAATGCACATAAATATCTCATATAACTTCTCTTTCTCATTTTGGAAATCTAATTATCATGCAAGCTTCTCAATGCATATATATATAGATTTTACGAAATAGATATAAGGATTTGAAAATAGCTTAGGGCTTCACTTTAAGCCTTCTATTGCAATAATCTTTAAAATTGGCAAAATAGACTTTTCAATGCAAAGTTTGGTAAACAGTGACTTATGCAAGAAATCTCAATAATCTCATCAATTCTACTATTCATGAGCTAAGCAATGCAATTAGCACATTTAATCAAATAATTCTTGTAAGCAAATGCCAATCTGATGCGTCATAACTTTGAACTCAAAAGCTAAACAAATACTCAGGGGCCAATTTCATACTTGTCTGTTAATCATGCTTTTACTGAAAAATCATACAAATACAACTCATACTAGCGTGTCGTAACGAGCTCGAGTGTCCGAGCCTAGGGGGCCCACGAAACCCGGTTCGAAACAACACATAGTTGAGCCTCAAAGGGCCCGGCCTCTCCTCAAAAGTTTATGATTTTATATATAAATATACTTTTAAACGTAAATAACCCTTCAAACCCAAATAATATTTTATATACTCCAAGATAATATCCCAAAGGTTGAAGTTGCTTAATTGGAAAAAACCCTAATTATTAACTATATATGGGATTAGGGGTTTAAAACTTACCTTAAACAATTTTATCAAAGCATAACAACCTCAAACTAAAACCAAAAGGACTGATATTAGCTGAGGGAATCAATCCCAAGCCTAACACAATACACATTAGTACTCAGACCAATGAGCTACCACAGATCATTATAATGA